TCTTAAAAAGCAAATCCCGTATTTTGATGATGAAAGTGTTTAAGGGAAAACTACTTTTTACCACATAAATCTGACCAGTCTTGGTAGAAGACTGGTTTTAATCAGAAAATATAGGATTTTTTGGAAAGTACTCTATTTCACTGTATACTTGAATACTACTACTTATATAAAGTTTTTTTTTGTATAAAATGACACTAAATACTTATGAACTCACCAGCATTTGTAAAAATGCTGATACTTGCTTTTCAAATAACTTGTATTCTCGGGTCAGCATTAGACAGGTACATTCCAGGAGCTTCTGTTGAAGACGGTTTTGTGCCAAGCTGTATCTACACTAGTTTCTATATTACTTTAATGATTCTATACAATGTAAAACTATTATTATTAATGCAATGTTTGTTATTCTTTGATTACTATACTGCATATGTTGTGATACTTGACATGACGTCATCCACCCCAGAACGTTTCCGCCGTTCCGTTTTTGGGGTGTGACAGTTAAATAGTTGCAAAGAATTGGTAACACTTGCAAATATGGTTAAATAAAAGATAATAACCATTTCGTAGTCTATTAATTTGGCCATTTATCTCAATTGAATTTTCTTTGAATTTTGTTGAGATTAAAACATGCTATAAGACGACCAAATAAATAAAGAGATAAATGTCATTGTACACTTGTTCATGCAATTTCAAAGAAACAACATTATTTTTCCTAATTTTCTTTCAGCACCAATTTAATAAACTTGTTACTATTATAGGGTCTTTTAGTAACACCCTATTATAACCATAAATATTTTAAACTCTAATTAAAACGATGCCATCTATTATTATTACACAAGTAGTTGCGTATTGTCATTAACCTCGTATGTATATTCAATAACATGATGACCAAAATGTGATTATACCACATGCATCATAATGTAAAATTATATGGGTGACTTAGAAACATACATCTCTATGTTGAATCACACTGCAACCAAAACAAGAAACCAATTTCATGCATCGTACTATGAATTCAAAGGATGTAATGAAATCTGGAGAAAGTGGGAAGAAATATTGTATATAAGCACCTTCCTCTATCAAAGTCCGAGAGATTTATGAAGTACATCTTACGTTCTATTTAAACAAAACTATGTGTTACAAATTTATTATTTCTAATTCCAAGAAAAACATACTGGAAATGGAGAGTTTATATTGAAATCAATATCCATAAACATAAAGAACAAGATTTGGGTTATGGTTAGGATTAGACCTTCATTTACAGGAAAAGTGGTTAAGGCGATCAAATGGAGAAAACAAGATGATAGCGATGCATATATCGTATAAAACCGATAGCTCATAAGCCTTCTTAATAAGTTCATTTCTACGTTTGCAAAATGTGACCAATAAGCTTGTGTTGTTCTTGATTCTTTTCATTGGAAGCTTATTTTTTTCAATTTGTTATTATATACATGGACCTTTCTCTTTCTATTTCAAGAAAGAAATAACAATTGAAAGTAATTTCTTTTTAAAAACCTAGTTTGCATTTGTTCTCTTATATTTCCATTTAAGAAAGATAAAGAAGATGATGTTGAAGTCAGGACTTGCAATGAAGGAAGAGAAGAGAAATACAATGAATGAAGAAAATGTGACAAAATATTGGTGGGGGGAAGAGGTTATACCTCTCCTTTTGTTCAGATTATGTGTAAATGAAATTGAAATTTGTTATGTTGTTATATTTAATTGGAATTGTTTGTTGATTTTGACATGTTTTTAATGGGTTTTACTTGTAGGATTTAAGAAGAGATGTAGAACCTATTTTGATAAAAGATAGATATCGAAAGGATAAAAGAATATGATGTTTATAAAAATGACCTCATTTAATTTGAATATTATTGGAAATGACCTAATTTTTTATGATTGCACCGAATCCAGAACCCTCTATTTCATATTACACTAAATCATGCTAGAGACCTTAGGTTTTGACATGTGGTGTAACGATCCAAATTTTCTCAATAATTATTTGGAGATTTATCAGAGTTTTTCTAAACAAATGTAGAATTATAAACTTCAAAAGCATTTTAAATCTCAGGATATTATGGGATTTATCATAACCACAATTTAAAGCAACAAGGAAATATCAAAATAAAATATACTCTTAGTCCAAGTCTTTGGTGCTTATATCTCCTCTCGTACAACAGCTACTACCTGAACCTTGAACACATGAAAAACCTACAACATCATACCACAGTTCTGGAGAGTTATATCATACTCTGTTTTCATGTCATCACAGAGGGAATCATCAAAGGCATTATAATTTCTGCAATTATTCTCATTTGTGTTCTAGGATTCCACAGCCCTTTGATGTTTTGCCAATTGGGCTGCAATGGTTGGATTTGTTCCTTCAACAATGTTAAACCAATAGGAGGGGATGGAGAATCATCAGTAAGAACATTGGAAACATGAAGAGTTGTTAGATAAAACATCTTCTGTTTCCATCTCCGAAAATCTAAGCCTTTGAATTTCTCAGGATTTTCACATGTGTTTTGACGGTGGAATTTTGATCTATTCTTCAACTTTTGTTTTCTGTCTTCGATTTTTATGACAATAGTATACAATCAATAGCAAATATATAATTGTAATAAAAACAAAATCAAACAAATGTGTAACATGAATCATAATCTAGAAAACATACTTGAATGTAGAATTAATATAGAATACAATCACGAAATTTGTAGAAGATTGAGTCAAGTTTTGTAGTGTCCTAAGACAGGAATTTTTCTGGGTTATAGATTTATCTTGAGGATACAACAATCAATCAAGAACAAATCTTGATTCTGATGAAATTGTTTATGTTCCCAACATGAATTAAGAGTTTGAAACTATAAAGACAATGAGATTTTTTCGAACACTGAAATCTGTGTTTGGTGATCCATATATATATATATATATATATATATATATATATATATATATATATATATATATATATATATATATATATATGGGAAAAGTGAATATACCCTTAAGGGTATATAAGCTTAGGTACCCAAACTCACTATACTACGTCGTTTTGTATCATATAATACGTTCTAATTATCCAATGTTCTTATAATTTAATTTCTAACTTGATTTACTTTCAAGATTTTTATAATTTACACATTTATCTTCCTCTTACATAATTTTCATTTTTAACTACAATATATATAGCCTAGTAGTTATTCGACAAAAAAATGTGATGTAAAGAATGATAATAGTGAAATGTTGAATATCTTGAAAGAAAATCAAGTTAGGATTCTAGTTTAACAATATTATAATGAATATATCAAACAAAACGACGTATTATGGTATGTTTAGGTACTTAAGCTTATATACCCTTAAGGGTATATTCACTTTTCCTTATATATATATATATATATATATATATATATATATATATATATATATATATATATATATATATATATAGTTAGATTCATGTGAGATGGTCTAATTTTGTGAGACCGTGAGACGCAATCCTAGTCATTCATTTGTTATATAAAACAAAAAACATTTTTAAAATGCAAAATAATTGAAAATTTTCGAAAAAAAATTCAAATATTATATTTTCCAAAAAATATTAAAAAAAATACCAAAATAAATATTAAAAAATTAAAAAAAAAATACTTTTTTCACATATTCTAGTAGAATAGATAGAATATTCTATATATCTGAGAAATATAGTATAATATTCTAACATTCTAAAAATCATATTAGAATATTTACAGTGTAATATTCTATTAGAATATTTCACGTATTTTTCAAAAAAAAAATGGTAATTTTTTTTTTGTTTTTTCAGGTAATTAAAGTTCCGAAAATAATAATTAAAAAAAGAATTTTTAGATTTTTCCTTTTATTTTGCATTTTAAAACAGTTTTATATATTAATAACTTTCTTTCCCTCCAAAAAAATACTAACCAAAATTAACTTTTAAATCAGTTAAATTGAATTTATCAGACTCAATATAAAATAAAAATAAAAATAAACAAAATCGGAGTTAATATATAAAACTATTTTATTATTCAAGGAGAGCTAATCCAACCCAAACCCTTTAGCCCAAGCTTTTCATCTAATTATTAAAGTAGTAGAAAAGAAACTTTATAAAGTTGGAAATGTTTCTTCCTTCTTCCAATGTGGGATAAGTCCCAATTTTAGATTTTAGAACAAAGTTCCAACATAGAGTTTTTAAATTTATAGTGATCACCATTAGACCATTTTGATTGGTGTAATATATATATATATATATATATATATATATATATATATATATATATATTCCATTCAACTCTCTAAAAGAGACCTTAGGGAGAGTGAGGAGATACACTAACATTGGTTGTTGGTAATTTTAGTGCCACAATGTCATTTAATGTAACTGGAACTAACATGTGATCTAAGGGGCTTCATAATTTTACTATAATATATGAACGGGGGATGTACGGAGTGCACGCATGTATAAGATCAAATTAGAAGTCAATTTGACGACAAGTCGGGGGTCTGGGGGTAGCACCCCTAGGTCCAGAGTTTCCAAAGGGGCAGCGCCCCTTTAATATGGTCTAGGGCAGCGCCCCTAGCGGGGTCCAAGGGGCAGAGCCCATAAATCCTCATTAAAATTTGGATTTCCCTGAATTGCTTCCAAAGCAACCAATAACGGCCAACCCTAAGAGGCAAACCCTAATCTAGTTTATTATATATAAACGACTCTTCTCTTTGAGAATACATGCGAAAATCATTAGCTCTCTTTTATTCAAACAAACAGAGAAACATTCTAGCAATTTGGTTTATTATTTCTGTGCCTAGATTCGTAAGTGTCCTCTTCGATTATCCCAGACTGAATTTCTTGCAACCCAGGCATACTGTAGAAATATTAGTTCAAAAAGTGTTCATACGATCCAATAGGTGTCCAGATCTCCAATATAAACCCTAATTCTTCCAACATTGACATCCTCCACCGATTGGCCCACAACCAACTTGAGATAAATCAATTTTTAATGTTCCTATATTATAGAAAGTGATACCCAAGTTTACCTTTAGGACAAACATTTGGAGATAATAATTATTCAAATATGGTTATTATGTAGTTGAAAATCTTGGGTACAAAACCTGAGCATGTTCTTAGATCGTTGATGTTCTACGGCTTACCTCTTACATGATGGTATTATACTATTTACTTTTTTTGTTGAAAATCCATAAAAAGTGGTTTATACCTTCTATTTAATTTACTAAATATATTATACAACTTAAACACTAATTGCTTGATATGTTTACCATATTCATTCAAATTAGAACGTTCTTTAAAAATATGTGTAGCAGTTATCAACCATTAATTAGTTTTGACGCTGTTAAACAAAATTAGAATTTAGCAATGGAGTTTATATATCAGGAACCTTGGTCATTGAGAAAGTGACATCATGTGTCATAAGAGAAGATAACAGCTCATCAGTTGACTGATGCCACAGGCTCTCTTGGTTACAGCCTTGAAACCCTTCAATGCTTTGTGGTTCCTCACTCATGGTTGATTTTGGCAATAGGTCAAACATTGCATCTGACAATTGATTCCTGAAAAATGTAACATTAGTTTAATATGATAATTTTCGTTTAAAATTTAAACTATTGTTGTGAAAACTAATTTATCCTACATACTACTTAGTATAATGATCGAACCTAGTGACTTCATATGTGTTTTCAGGTGAACTTGAGGTAAACATATTTGGGTGGGTTTGTCCATTCATTCGATTTGTACCATCACAAACATTTTCAGGCCAGCCACTGAGATCCTCATTTTTTGATGAACGTTCTCCCTGTTGTATCTCAATGATCAGTCAAATGTTTTTGAACAGCAAGATTAAAATATCAATCATATATGTACAACTTTTTCTGTGAGGATACATAAACAAGCATCATATGATGAAATGGTAAAGTACAATTTGTCTTTTTATATATCATTCTTACATAACTTGCAAACAATGGCAAATCGCAATGAAAGATATACAATGGTTCAAAAAGCTATTTTTTTAGTTTTATTAATTCGACTGTTACATGTAATACGCTTGAATGGTATTTGGGTGGCTGGTTACTTAACAAATATTGATGTAATAGAACAAAAATCAAATGAGACTCTTATTTTTTATCTGTTTTCTAATCTGAAGAATTGTAATAGTGAACATCTATAATTAAGAGCATCAAGAGTACCTTGCGTTGTATAACTTGGTCCAACGTCTTATAAAGTAACTTCTCATACGATTCATAATCATAAAGTGATGTAAAGGTCGTTGGGTCTGGCTCAAATATCCTTTGATTGAATCATAACCCAAAGTAGAGTCAGTAAATCGACATTTTACTACTTTGCTTGTGGAATCTTTATCCCCAAAAACAAGTCTTTTGTAGACAGTTCTTTCTACATATGTATTGTGATTTTGGGTTATAATATCCACAAACATTTTTCATATACACAGACAAAAGAACATGGGATTGAACCTTAATTGTTCCTTAGCCATATGAATTTGATGATGCAAGGTGCTAATTTCTTGATGGATTTCCTATCACACATAGAGTTAAAACACAAACTGCATTGAGTTTATATATTTTAATATGGGTTTTGAGTTGTTTTTTTAAATAAACAAATGTCATGTTGGTACCTCAGATTGCGCATCGATCGCTTCGGGACTGATCAAAACAAAAAAGTTAGTAAAGGATTTTTATATTCGAATGTTTGTATCATAAAACTTTCAATATATTAAAATCTAGAGTCTTCAAGATACATAAAATTGTATATAGATAGCATTAAAAGGTTAAGTAAAACCTAAGAAAACGAGATGAGAGAGAGAGAGAGAGAGAGAGAAACCAAGGAATATGGATGGCCAAATCATTTTCACCCCTGATCTTGCTTAGGAGGCTGTACAAATACTGCAATTTTCGTTAGATTGAAAACTACAAATACAAATAAAATAAAATAAAAGATTAATTATTTGTCTTTTGTAAGTTGAATAAAAGATAGTAATAATTTCATAGACTCTATTAATTTGGTCATTATCTCACTTGAATTTTGTTCAGATTAAAACCTGCTATAAGACGACCAAATAAATAAAGAGATAAATGTCATTGTGCACTTGCTCATGCAATTTTAAAGAAACGATATCATTTTTTCCTAATTTTCTTTAGTTACTAATTCAATAAACTTGTTACTATCATAGGGTCTTTTAGCAACTACGTATTGTCGTCAACCTTGTACGTAAATTCAATAACACAATGACAAAAAGTTGAATATACCACATGCATCATAGTGTAAAATTCCATGGTTGACTTAGAAACATACCTCTGTATGTTGAATCACACTGCAACCAAAACAAGAAACCAATTTTATGAATCACACGATGAATTTAGAGGAAGTAATGAAATCTAGAGAAAGCGAGGGAGAAATATTGTATATAAGCACCTTCCTCTATCAGAGTCCGAGAGATTTACGAATCGATTAAGTACATCTTCTATTCTGTAAAACAAAATTGCGCGTCACAAATTCTTTTTTTCAAAGTCCAAGAAAACCATATTGGAAATGGAGAATCTGTGTTGAAATCAATATCCAAAAACATAAAGAACAAGATTAGGGTTATGGTAAGGATTGGACCTTCGTTTACAGGAAAAGTGGTTAAGGCGACCGGATGGAGAAAACATGATGAGAGCGATGTCGATATCGCATAAAACCGATAGCTCATAAGCCTTCTTAATGAGTCCATTTCTACGTTTGCAAAATGTGACCAATCTGCTTGTGTTGTTCTCGATTCTTTTCATTGGAAGCCTATTGCGACCCATTTGTTATTATATACATGGACCTATATCTTTCTATTTCAAGAAAGATATAACAATAGAAAGTAATTTCTTTCTAAAAACAGAAATTGGTTTGCATTTGTTCTCTTAACATACCAGTTTTAGAAATATGAAGAAGCCAATGATGGAGGAAAGAGAGAGAGAGAGAGAGAGAGAGAGAGAGAGAGAGAGAGAGAGAAAGAAAAGGAATGAAGAAAATGTGCCAAAATATTATGGAGGGAAGAGGTCATACCTCTCTTTTTGATCGGGTTAGGTGTAAATGAATCTCAAATTTTCTAATGGCATTATATTAATTGGAATTGTTTGTTCGTTTTGAAATATTTTTAATGGGTTTTACTTGTAGTATTGAGGTGTAGAACCTAATTGATAAAAGATATGAAACATAAAAAACTTATGCATGTTAGCATTAGTAAAAGAAACTGTGCTAACATATGCCGAAAAGAATAGAGAATGGTGACATAATGTAAGCAACACCAACTAAGCTTCTATTGGACAAATAATCGTAGATTACAAGCTTCTCATATGGTCACCTTCATATTTGGATTCAATTGCCGTTTCCGATGTTTCATCACTGATTATGCAATGCAAGCAGGAGCAAGAAGTTTAAAGGAATCCAGATCTTTCTATGGGATAACAAGTTGTTTATTAGGTGTCATTATCTCATTCTTGTATTTATCAATTTGTTAGTTAGATTTACTCCCAAGTATAAAAGGGGAGTCGTTGATTCACTTTGTAATCAGTTTTTCATTCAATCAATAAAATTAACTCTTTCATTATATGATTCTTTATGGTATCAGATAATATGATCTGTTAGAGAAGTATCAAGCCGGCGACGATCATGACAGGAGAAAAAAGAGAACGAAGCAAGAAGAATGAAGAAACTGTTGATGCTAACTCACCCTATTATATCCATCTATCTGATTACCCAAGAAAATGCAAATGAATGACATATTAAATGAGAACAACTTCAACGAATGAAAACAGAAGATGATGAACTTTCTATTTGCAAAGAACAAGGAAGGATTGATCGACAGGTCAATCAAAAAATCAAAAACCTGAGACCACTCCTCCCATCTACATGACATGGATGCGAGTCGATGCCATGATCAAGGGTTGGCTAATGATATCCATGGAAAGGGATATAAGAATGAGTGTGAGATATGCAAATACCTCAGCCGAAATCTGGAAGGATTTAGAAGAACGATTCGAGAAGAAGGGGGCTCTATGCGCATATGAACGAAAGCGGTCCCTAAATGTCATGAGGCAAGATGGCTCATTAGTTTCTTCTTACTACACAAAGTTGAGAACCATTTGTGATGAACTCCAACTGGTCCTTCCCACACCACGATGTAACTGTAATGGGTGCGACTGTGCTTTGGGAAAAAGATTGAATGAGCTAAAAGAAAGAGAAAGGATCTATGAGTTTCTTATGGTACTTGATAAAGAATTCTCAATCATCCATACATAAATCTTGGCCATGAAGCATGCATCGTCTTTAGGGGCAACCTATCATCTAGTTGTTGAGGACGAAAAACAACGGGTTATCACCAGTAGCTCTAGGAAAATGAGTGGTGAGACAACAACCTTTCAAGTCAATTATGTAGGCAGAAAAGCAACAGGTCAGACGCAAGGACGAGGCACTACACACGTGGCAGGTAAAGGAGGGTAGGTAATGTAAAAAACCGCAAAACAAGGTGACAACAAGGCAGAAAATGCACCTTCTATGGAAAAGAAGGCCATTACAAGGACGGATAATTCAAATTAGTAGGATGTCCAGATTGGTGGCCTGGGCAAAGGCAGTTTGTGTGGAGATTGGACCCAATCATGTTCCATGGTTAACCAGATCAGCAGTATAAGTTATTTGTTGACCATTTCAAGGAGGAGGAAAGAAACAAAACACACCCAAGGGCTAATTTGGCAGGTAGAAACAACATGTATGATGGGTGGGTGGTATACTCGGGTGCACATGCACCCATAACTAATTATTTTGTAAATTATATATCTTCCGCATACGACCTCCGTTTTCGACATTCTTTATACACACGTGTAGCTATCGCCAAGTATTACAACTTTCTTTTAAGTTGTTTTAGAAAATTTCAAACTTATTTTTAGCCTATTAATTGTAAAGAGGGGGTATTTATAAATGATTTTTCAAAAATCGTATGTCCATCATGTCGGCTTCAGTTTTTGAGTTCTTCATCTCATCGGTTTATAATGAGGAGTACTTTGATTCTTTTTTATATAGTTTTTGCTAAAACTCAATCGATTTTTCTTTAACTTTTTATGATACACACCCATTGTATACGGTTGATTTTAAAATTTTAGAAAAATCATAACTTCTCTATACAAAATCAAATTCTTACGAAATTTATACTTACGAGATCGGGACAACGTGTACATTTGGAATATTTTATTATTTATACAAAATAATTAAATAACACAATTTTTTCCGCATTTATTTTTATAGTTTTCGAACGTTTTTGTTGATTTTTATTATATATTGGAATACGAAATCTTGTATTTTTATCATAGATTAATAAATATTTCATATTAAGTCTATTATATTTGACGTTCGTTATTTTTTATGATTAGCGATCGATGGCACTTTTTACAATTGTCACACTAGCTTTTACTTCCACATGAAAGCCTTCCATATCTAAATATAAAAGAAACAAAGATAAAGGATCGCCTTATCTTAACCCCTTTCCAATGTAAGTCATCAGTCGGGCTTCCATTCAGCAAAACTGAAGTTGTGGCCGAATTCAAAGTAGCTTTTATCTAAAGTATCAATTTCATCCCGAAACCCATAAATATCATAATTTGTAATAAATATTCTCAACTAAGCGAATCTTTAGCCTTTTCAAAATCAACATTCAATAGAGCCAACTTCTTTTTTTCTCTTTCTTGTGTCATTCAACTATCACATTGACCATTAACGGCCCATTCAAGAATTTGCGTATATTTAACAAATGTAGATTGTTCCAAACTAACAACACTATAAACCACCTTTGCAATCCTAGTTGCCATTAATTGTGCAAGCACTTTATACTGCAAACCAATCAAACTGATTGGACGATAATCAAAAATTATCGTCAGACTTGACACCTTTGGAATCAACGTAACGAATGAGGCATTATGATTAAAATCAATCTAGGTATTGTTATAAAAGTTCATGACAAACATTATAATATCATTCTTTCTTTTCACCACCAGTAAAATTTAACTTCTTTTTAAGCTCTACTTTAAGAACATTCTTTAATTTCTTCAACGTATCTTTAAAGAGATTTTGATCTCCATTTGTTCCTTCCCACACATGTTTAATAATATCACCAAAATCTTCCCATTCCATCCAAGAATGAAATAGTTAGGTTTTATGATACGAGCCAACCCTTTCAAGAACAATCGCCATGATGTTAGGTATCACCTCTAAGAAATCTTATGAGATCAAGAATCTATCTAATTTACTTAACTTCTCACCATTCCTACTAACACTTGTGAAATTATATCCCACCAATGGAACATCATACAACCTTCCATTACTAATAAACTCATTAAAATGATTAGATGTGGTTTGTCAAAAAACTTTATCCAACCCTCTCATCAGGGCTCCAAATTGCGTTAAAATCTCTAAATATCATATATTTCCGGTGATGTTAGTTCATAAATTTGATAATAAAATCCCGTAAATCTTTTTTCTTTCTTTCATCTTGTGGCGCATACACATTGATCATATAAGAATGAAGTTTATGAAAACCCCACTAACCTTCAAGTTTTAATTGGATTATTCGGTACCAAAAAAAGAAAGCTAATGAGTTGTTTTTAATGTTTCGTAAATTTTGATTATAAATATAAAAATTACCAAAAAATGGACTTATTTAGTTTTACATATAGTAAAGTAACTTGTTTTTTTATCATTTATAAATATATGTTTTAAAAAACTTTAAACCAATAATTAAAAAAAAAAATAGATACGATTATATTAATAACATTAAGGTGTATATTTTCCCCAAAAAAGTGTATTAATAATATATAAAAATAACTAGATAAAAACATCAAAATTATAATAATAGTATTAAATTTATGATTTCATTCTTACCGGTGAACATGCCAGTCATGTGGAGAGAAGAAATAAAGAGAATAATTATTGCGTGGTGAAGGAAAATAAGTAAAAAAAAAAATGTCATGCATAATTTGTTTAGATTAAATACTTAAATTAAGAGTAAAATTGTCAATAATATTTTACTTTTTGTAACGAGTTTTAAATAAAGGGAAAATAACACATACGCCCTATGAAATTTCTAGGGTTGACCATTTTAGTCATTTAAGTTTTTTCGTGGCTTTACGAGGGAACCAAGTTGTGGACAACCTGTTCTTTTAGTCCACTTTACTTGTTTTAGCCGGTTTAGAGATTATATAGACAAAAATTGGGGCCATCTCTCTCTCTCTCTCTCTCTCTCTCTCTCTCTCCATAAAAAACCCAGCAACAACCAAAGATGTTGCCTTCTTCAGCTTATCCTCTCGTCTTCATTCAATTTTGATTGCAGACTGATCCAATCACCACCAAACCACCGCCATGACCAGTTGAAGCAAGCCTTCGACCGCAAAGAGGACCATCAACACTGTTCATCAGAGAAGAAGAACCGGCGAGAATCACCATTTTCCCTCATGTCTTCATCTCTTTTTGACCTTCAAACAGCTTTCAATCATTTTTCCTTACTCCTCCATCAATCTTAGGTAACCCCTTTTCTTTTCTATTCAGAACTCATTCAAAAATCTCCAAGAACAGTCAACACGTGCCATGGTGGCCAGTGACATGAACAGTTCCGACAGGATGGTCCTGATGATGGGTTCGGTCCTAAACAGATATATGTAGTTCCTTATTCTGTTGTTTTTCTGTTTTGGAGGTGTTTAGGTCGAAAATTAAAAAGAGTAGTTATACGGGTCTCTTCTAGCGAGCTCCTCATCGTCATTACTCTCTTCTGGTCGTCACCTATTAGAGCCAAGAACAGCAAGAGTGATAGGTGTTGAATATCACCGGTGATGATGGGTACCATCCACCACAGCAACGACGACGAGTGGTAGTATCACAACATCTTTGTTGCTTCCGCCTTCCCAATCCAACGGTGATCGAATAGGAAATAAGGTTCATATATCAGGGTTGTTTGGGGTGGGGCTACGGTGGTTCTATGCCGGACGATGGTGGTTTCCAGGGAGGAAGAAGATGATGGCAATGGTGGAGCAAGGTTGATTTAAGTTGTGAGAGAGAGAGAGAGAGACCTTTTAGTTTTTTTAATTTATTAAAATATAAAATAAATGAGGTGGCATAAGGGGGTAACCGGGTTACCCTTTCGTTTTCTCAAAAATGATCTATTGGAACCGATAAAACCAAATTTATTCCCCTTAAAAAACCACTAAAATAGTTAAATGATTAAAAGAGACAACCCTAAAAACTTCATAGGATGTATGTATCATTTTCCCTTAAATAAATAAGGACTGAAACACTTATTAAAAACTTAAAATTCAAGCTGGCAAGTATTTATTTTTATTTTTTTTTAATTTTTCTATTCAAAAATTTTCAATGCCTTTGATTAATTAATAGATCATTCAGACGCTTCATCAATCGCATTAAACGTTGACCGATTTAATTATTACTTACGAATGATTTTATTTAGAAGTTAGCGGATAGCCCCTAAAATGGTTTACTAACAGTAATCAACAACAATAAATAAATAAGTATTTAACACCCCTACATGTATAACACTATAAGCTCCAAAGCATTTAGTTTTAACAGAATTTAAACATAGTATTATAAAGTATTTTACTTTAATTAAAAGTGTATTAAATATGAAACTAATAACCAAATATTATTCTTTGATCCACATCAACACAACTCTATTCTGAATTTTATACTATTTTATTTTGACCATGTAACTTTTTTAAATTCCAAAAAACATGTTTGTCAACACACAAAATCAAGAAAAAGTTTCATCAAAGTAAAAGCCATAAACTAAATTACTAAAAGCACCATTAACTTTTTTGTTGGGCTGCTTTTGGCTGCTTGTAGAGGTGGAGTTGGGCTAAAACATTCTCTTTTAGAAATTCAAAACTTTTTGTTTTTCAAAAACTTAATATATTAATTTTCTATAACCTGAAACTTATAAATGGCTTATATTAAAAAAAATTAATACAAGAGAAAGTAATATCCACTTTCTCTCTGGAGCAATGAACGGCGAGTGGACGGAGGTCCGACGACATAAGAACAACACATTCCAGAAGAACACAGGAACCACAAACTACTATGTGACCGGGTTCCCTGACGGCACAAAGAAGGAGGAGCTACGTGAACCTTTCAGCAGATTCGGGAAGGTGGTGGATATTTACTTTGGAATGAAGAAAAATTATCACAAAAGAAACTTTGCATTCGTCAAATATGCCTACATCAACAACGCCAAAGAAATGGAGATGAAATTGCAGGGCATCAGGAATTACCAAAGGGCTTGTAGCCCAGCGGTATCAGGTGGTGTCCTCCCTCTTTGAGGTCGAGGGTTCAAGTCCCATCGTGGACATATGTGGAATAGGTGTTGTTAGCTTAGGAGTAGATTATATTTGCCGGTTCAAAAAAAAAAAATCAGGTGCAGGAATAAAACTTTGGAGGTAAATATCTCAAAACACCAATGTAAAGTAAATCTAAACCAACATCATAACCAAGAAACACGACATCAACCTATGCCAAGACAGAACATGCAATCCAATACCACTAAACATGGAGCACCTTCTTACTTCGTAGAAACCAGAGGCATCAGAACATATGCTCAAGTTGTAAATGACACGTATGGAAAGAGAACAATGGAAGATGACCCATTAATCACACTCAATTCTAATACATTCATGAAAGGCTGGTTTAAGAGAGGAGTACTCATCAGCGAAACACATAGCCTGGACCATATGGCTAATCTTCACGCCTCAGGAATTATGAAAGAAGAAATAAAGTACCTTGGTGGTCTCAAACTCGCTATCCAATTCAGGTGGCATGCCGATGCAAAAGAATATTTAGGGGACAAAAACCGATGGAAAGACTGGTTCAAATGGTTGGTTAATGCAGAACAATGGAATGTAGATTATGAAAGAATAGCATGGCTCAAGATCATCGGGGTCCCTTTACCACTTTGGGAGGAAGATAACTTCACAAGAATAGCTAGTAGGTACGGTAGGGTCATCAATCCATTCGATGGTATAGCAAATAGAAGAGATTACTCTATGGGCAAGGTTGGAGTTCTCACATCATCAAGACAATGGATCAACGATGAAATTAGAATCAAATCCAATGGTCAAGAATTCAGGATTGGAGTCGTAGAATACACAGACGATTGGTCACCATTCAAACCAGCTTCGTTTGACAGAGTTGTTGAATCAGATGATGACGATCAAGACTTAGAAGGAATTTCTGAGACATGGTTGGAAGGCGAGGATTGCGAACCAGAAGACAGCGAAATCAGACCGGAAAATATGGTGATGAACGACGACTGTCCAATCGACCAACATACCCCGACAGGCGATGAATCCCCGCCAAAATCGCCGGCAACCGAAGTGAATGGAAACAAAGAGTCGAAGGTTAACGAACCGTTGGGAACAATTCACAAGCCAATGCATGATGAAGCATTAATTAGTCATAATATTTTAGTGGTGCCTGGAATTCCTAATGAGGCGACTAGGTCACGACATGAGACATCTGTATCCAATATGGACCACACCCCCACTTTCGGGCCACCTAAGTCTCATAATATCGGTCCAATACATAATTTAGTCCCATTAGGATGCTTTGGGCCGTTCCCTAATAACACAACTCCATTCTCATTTACATCCCCTCAAGCCCAAAGTAATGATTCTGACAATAAAGACACCAATAGTGGACCCAAAATAAAAAAAGAAAAAGGGACAAATCTGCAACCATCGCCTCTCATCAATCTCACAAAGGATACAACCTAAATTCACTTTCACCTGTGATTCAATCTGAACAACACAACAATCCAAAAGACAAAATTGACCTGAACACAAACCCAGTAATCGGTGACGGAATCGACACTCCAGGTAAAAGTAAAAAAAACTTCCCAAATCACAGGAATCATGGAAACAGCTGCGATCGGTGTCGAAATCGGGTTCCAAATTGACGGTGGGGACTCAACGCTCACATAAATTGAGGCAGATAATGGTGAGAACACTAGTGATCAATGAATTGTATGACACTTAACGTGAGAGGCATCGGTGAAGAAGAAAAAGTCAGTTGGGTTAAAAGAATGTAGCATTTACATAAATCAAACTTTCTAGGGTTACAAGAAACACAATTAACTGAGTACGAAAGAATAGACACACAAGGATGTTGGGGAGATCAAGATTTCGATTGTGAAGGCATAAATTCAAGTGGTAGATCAGGAGGTCTATTATCAATTTGGAACAAAGATTGCTTTATCAAAAAGGAGGTTCTTAAATCTAGAAACTACTTAATAATCACAGGAAAATGGTTGGTGTTGAGGGAGATACAATTCTTGCAAATATATACGGGCCACACAACCTTAGAGAGCAAAAGGAATTATGGAAGGAGTTGTTGACGATTAAAGATAAGAAACCCGGCAGCTGGACTATCTTCGGTGACTTTAACGTGGTACGCAGAGTAGAAGAGAGATTCAATTCTGAATTTTGTGCGGCAAGTGCCTTTTACTTCAATGAATTCATCCGGTTAGCTGAATTACATGACTTTACGATGGGAGGCGAAGTGTACACATACATGTCAAGAGTCAGTGCAAAACTAAGCAAGTTGGACAGATTTTTGGCATGTCCTAACTTTGTTGCAACGTTTCCATCATTAGTTGTCACTGCACACCCTCAGGAACTTTATGATCATTGTCCAGTCACCCTAATCACCTCATCTGCAGACTATGGCCCTCCACCTTTCAAACTATTCAATTCTTGGTTATTAAAACACGGATTTGATGTCACTGTAAAGAAAGCTTGGGAGGAATTTTGGGGGTATGGTAACCCTGATGCATATTTGGCTGCAAAGATCAGATTCCTAAAAAACGAAATCAGATCATGGAAGAAGAAAACAGATGTGGAGACGAATCAAGAGTTACTTAAAATCAAGGCAGATGTTGCTTTGATTGAAAAAGCAGCAGAATCAAGACCCCTAACTGACATAGAAATTGAAACTCGGAATCTTGGTTTGCAGAAGATTCTTGAATCAGAAAAATTAGCAGTCCTTGATTTGAAACAAAAAGCACGCGTGAAATGGAACGTGGATGGAGATGAAAATAATTCTTTCATGGATACATAAACAGCAAGAACAAGAGGAACATAATTAACGGGTTAATGATAAATGGAAAATGGACTTCAGATGCGCCTACGGTCAAACTTGAAGCCCTTCGATTTTTCAAAAACAAGTTCACAGAAACCAGGACATTGAGACCCAAACTAATCATCCCCTACTTCAAATCCTTATCCATGATGCAAGCGATCAAAGTTGAAGCTCTATTTAGTCTGAAGGAGGTTAAGATTGCAGTCTGGGCATGTGGAAGCGAAAAGGCTCCGGGACCAGATGGACTTACCTTCAAGTTCATAAAAACCTATTGGGAGACAATCAAATATGATGTGATGCAATTCGTCCTACATTTTGACAAATTTGGGACCTTTGCAAGAGGTTGCAATTCTTTGTTCATATCCCTCATCCCTAAGGTCAAAGATCTGACCACTCTCACAGACTACCGTCCCATCAGCCTAATTGGATGTATGTATAAAATTATATCAAAGATTCTGGCCATTCAAGCCAAATCTGTCATAGGTGACCTCATCGGGGACGTCCAATCAGCATATGTGGAAGGCAGAAGCATACTAGACGACCCACTTGTGATAAATGAACTCCTTTCATGGTCAAAAGCAATCAAGAAAAAAGTGTTGATGTTCAAAGTAGACTTTGACAAAGCATTCGACTCCATAAATTGGGAGTATGTTGACTCTGTACTCTCACAGATGGGTTTTGGAAGTAAATGGAGACAGTGGGTACGTGGATGCCTCAAATCATCCAGGGCATTGGTAATCCTTAATGGCTCCCCATCAGAAGAATTTGAAATCACGAAAGGTGTTCGACAAGGAGATCCCTTATCCCCCTTCCTCTTCATCATAGCCATGGAATGCCTCAACGTAGCTATGGAGGCTGCACGAGACAAAGGAGTCTTCAAGGGCATTCAAATCCCGAATCAGAATGCCACTCTATCTCACTTATTCTATGCAGATGATGCTTTATTTGTAGGAGAATGGTCGAGATCTAACCTCAAAAACCTTGCTAGCATCTTAAAATGCTTCCATGCTTCGTCGGGTTTTAAAGTAAATTTCCATAAATCAAAGGTTTTTGGAATTGGGGCCTCAGGTAGGGAGACCGAGAACTGGGCCAATCCTTGGATGCGAGGCGGGTTCACTACCTTTCAATTATCTTGGAGTCCCTGTCGGCACAAACATGAACCTCATAAAAAGTTGGAAACCAATCATCGACAAATTCAACTCTAAACTATCCTCATGGAAATCAAAAACGCTCTCATTCGGAAGAAGGTTGACACTAATCACCTCGGTACTAGGGAACCTGCCTACATATTTCCTTTCCCTTTTTAAAGCACCGATGGCTATCACGGAGAAACTTGAACAAATTCGGTGAAGATTCCTATGGGGCGGGGATGAAAGTAACAAGATCCATTGGGTCGCATGGGACAAAGTCATTACTCCCAAAACTGGTGGTGGACTAGGAGTGGGATTTGTCCGTACGCTGAACTCAAGTCTACTAGTCAAATGGTGGTGGCGTCGTAAATCTGAAAAAGACTCGCTTTGGGTGAAAGTCATAAATGGAATTCATAACCTAAGCAATAAACCACACGACTACCTATCAAGCAAGAAAATTGTGGGTGTATGGAACAACATTGCAAAATGTAGGAAAGAACTCATGAATTTTGGACTTGGAATTGATGATGTGTTCAAACTACAGGTAAAATCAGGTGAGAATACTTTATTTTGGCACAATAAATGGCTAGGACCAACAACACTTGGAGAAAGATATCCATCTCTCAGTGATCTTGCATCCAGAAAGAAATGCACTGTGATAGAATTGTAAACGGACACTTTGAGGGGCATTGGAAATCGCAAATGGAATACAAAGGAGATGTCAGCAAAGTAAATAACCTAATAAGAGATCTATCGGAGGTGCGGTTGGCACAAGGTGAAGATCAATGGAAATATGTTGTTGATATTACCAGCCCCTTTACGGTAGGTACACTAAGAAAGAAACTTGATCAACTCTTATACCCAAATCGTGTACTTCCATGGTTTAGATGGAATAAACTGTCCCCGATCAAAGTAAATTGTCTTATATGGAGAGCAATACAGAAGAAGATCCCATCTGCAGTGGCTTTGAGAAACAGGGGCATCGATATTGTACATGATAATTGTGGGGCTTGTATTAACGACATTGAATGTTCAGATCATATTCTCATATCATGCCCTTTCGTCTACGATGTCAGGAAACAAGTTTTCAAATGGTGTGGCATTCAATAGGAGAACTTTGCATCTGTAACTGATTTACTTAGTTTCGCAGCAAATTGGGGCAGATGTCCTAAGAAACGAAAGAGATTCATCTCCATTTGTCATGACCTAATTTGGAATTTAGGGAAAAATCGGAACGACCTGGTGTTCAATAGGGTGTTCGCAAATCCAACATTGAGTTCAGAAACAGTCAAGTCTTTGGTGTTCTTTTGGTTGAAGTGTAGAGGCAACAGTGGAATGTGTGGTTGGAATGAATGAGTTTCTTCTTCTTTCAAGTTTAATTCCTTTGTATCTCAAATCATGTAATAGTTTTAATTTATGTTATTCTTATTTTGTACTTTTGGGCCCTCACTAGTTACTTGCTAGTTCGGGGGTTCTTTTCTAATACAAATTGCCGTTTCCAAAAAAACTAGGACAAAAAATAAGTCTGTTACAAATTTAAAACTTTATCCAAGTATGCAATTACAAAGTGTTAGTCAACAATGTCGTTAAAACTTATAATTATGAACAAACAATTAAGCAAGCATAATCATGAAAAATATAGTGTTTATGTTTGATAAATCACGAATAGAAGAATCAACCAAAACAAAATCATATATATGTTAGTGTTATAATAAATGGCTTCCATTAACAACCAAAAAAAACAAAACCATGATTATCTCTCTCTTTGCATTCACCAAACTTTCACACCCTCAAAAACTACCATGATCTCAACAAGCCATAGCAAAAACCTGTAAATATATTAGTGTTATAATAAAATATTAAAATCCAAGCTATATTCGAGTCTAATCAAGTTAAATTTATAAAGAAAACATTGAAAATAGATGAAACGTGACAAATTTTGGAAAGTACTTGATTCGACATTCAAAAGTCAAATCTAGACACTTTAAGTCAAAGTTAATCACTAAAATGTAGACTAAGTTACAAATTTGGTCCCTGTTTTTTATAATTTGGTCCAAAATATAATTTTTTTTGCAACTTTTGCAGTTTTCTGTTGAATAGTATTAAATCACAAGGGTTGTTTTAAGTTTGAGGAATGAAGAATGGGTAAGGATTTATTTTTTAGGGTTCTATAAAGAAGAGGAAGAAGATGAAAGCAACAAGGGCATAATCGTATAATCGATTTAACTAAGGATTTATTTTTTATGTTTTCAGTTTTGGTCCCCAAATATATTCTCTTGCAATTTTGGTCCTTGTTCGAAGTTTTTGTAACGTTTCTTGTCACTGTTCAAACTAAAATGACTATATTTTAGGACCAAATTGCAAAATTCAGCAATACTCAAGGACCAAAAATAGTCTTCTTACTTGAAACAGGGACCAAAAACGTTACAAGAACCTCAAATACGGACAAAATTGCAAGAGAAAACAATTTTTTGGACCAAAAATTCAAAAATCAGCTAAACTCAGGAATCAAAAATAGTCATTTGAATTGAAACAGGGATCAAAAACATTACAAGAACCTCAAATAGAGAGCAAATTGTGAAACTTTTTGGGACCAAAATTGCAAAAATCGGCTATACACAGGGACAAAAATGTAATCTAATATTTGTTCTTTTAATATAAAGGACAACAAGCACATGAATTTTATTATTTATGGAAGCACCCTACTAAAAACTCTTGGGTTTTAATATTTTTCATGGGAAAGAGAGAATTTACCTTGTTAACATGTACTTATTGGCTACTGATTCTTCTTTTGTCTATATTGTACTGAAGGTATCAATTTAAAGACAATATCAGCTTTCCTCAAGACTGGATGCAAAATCTTGTGTACTACAATTAACTTTCCATCCACTTGAGACTGGAACATTTCATATAAGAAAGGTACTGATAAACTAAAAAGTACCCCTGAAATGAAATGAAGAATTGGAACATGTTATGGGAAGTTTTATGTTTCAAAAGCATATATATGTATACAGTATTGTTGCATAAAAAGAAAACAATCTCACCTATATAGATCAATGTAAGGAAGTTAAAAAAGCTACCAATATAAGAAATCAGCCATAAGCTAGAGACAACCTGAGGAATCAAGCACAAATTATGTGATTGTGTAATTATAATCCAATGTTTGAAACAGAAGAATTCAAGAAAGCGGAAGGAGAATGTTGATAGGATCATACCAGCATCAATGCTTTCAAGTTTCCATCAACTGCAATTGCATGTGCGAGTGAAAAGATATGATTTACCCACACTTGCATCTCATCAGCAGCAATAAGAACAGTTTCTTCTGAAATGTCCAGTTCGGGAATTGGAGGGAGAGGTCTACATTTAGGAATTATATGAATAGAAAAATCTTAGAATGTGGACTCCGAGATCGGATTCATGTATGCAAATCTAAGTAAAGCGTGCTCTAATATTGATATGGAAGAAGTGTTGATTTAGGTAGACTTGTTAAAACTTCTTGCGACAAAATTGAATATGGTTTTAATCAATTGGTGATCTGTAATTAGTCTCCAGAGACGTATTAGACAAACCTGTTGAGAAGGGATGCAGATTTAGCCCAGAGAAAGAGTATAACAACCAAAAGCAGTAGATTATTGGCGATGAATGCGATGATGTTATATCCTCCTTTTTCAAATAGGAACCACAGGATGGTGGAACCGATTAATACCGCTCCTCCGCCGTAATAATTCCTCCATAGCAATATATCAGCAACTGCACAACCAAAATGCGCTACAACGATTCAATTGATTGCATCAGGTAGAGAAAATAGATCGCAAATATCACGATCCCAGTCGAATTACAACACAAAATGCATACAGATATTCAATTGACTATTGTAACTGAATGAATCGTTTCTCATATTGAGATTGGCAGCGATTACAATCAAAGTGGGATGAGATGAAATGAGATAGACCTGGGCCACCTCCGAGAGCGTTATGGACTGAAATCCGACCAAAATCGCCCATGGCGGGTAGGGTTTGTGACGAAGAAACTGAAACGGATACCAGAGAGAGAGAGAGAGAGAGAGAGAGAGAGAGAGAGAGAGATATAGAGATTTTGGAGAGGGTGACCTCGTAAGTTTCAACAGACCAAGATTCACATAACTACAGACTTGGATCCATAGGTATACACTTTAGATGAAAGTTCCTTTTAAAAAGCATAAAATTTTCGATTTTTATAGCTAATGATCTATTATTTTAGCCCTATTTATAAATAATTAAATAAATAAATAATAACTAAAAATTAACAAAAAAACATGGAATACATAAAACCACGAATTGACCCATTTTAGCTAGTAACCATTCTTTGCGACTAGTAACAAATCTATGTGCTAAATGAGGTTATGTGGCAGCTGACTCAACTCCTCATTTTATTTAGTACATTGAAACAATAAGAAACAAAGCTAAGACCTAAATCGATCATCCAAGCTAGGTCGACGATGGCGTTCTCCTCCACCGTCTCCAATAGTAGTGCTAATCGCCCATCCAAGCAAGGTCGAAGAAGGTGTGATTGTGATGATCGAATTAGCAGCTGGACTTCATGGAAACTGAAAAGCTCTGGAAGTTTAGATTGAAATATGAACACACTAAATTCGTATACTAAGAGTTTGTATATCTTTCCACATCTTCAACCTTGAATAAAAACTTTGTAATTTTGTTGTTTTTCTTCTTCCCAACAAAAACAATTCCCAAGGGCTTCAAAAACAGATTTCACCATCATCAAAGTTCTTCAAAATTCTTTGCACCTTTCAATAAAGACTGTGGGACAATGATTTGTTTTCCCATTGTAAGTGCAAGCTCAACATCCATCATTGCCAAACAATCATAGTAATTGTCTATGAATAGCTTAATGTGAGCAAATCCAAGAAGAAAATCTTCTTTGTTGGTCAATTGAAGCTTCGAAACATCTGTATACTTCAAGATCTTGGAAACACTGATGAGATCGTTGATATTCATCAATGTAAAATCTACTACTGAAAAATCGAAAGCAACATTGTTGGCTCGGACAACATGAATTCTGAAATTCTGTAGTACCCCTTCGAATAACACATCTTTTGAGATATTATGAACTTTCACAATCTTTACCAAAGACCAAATCTAATCTTGTCTTTTTCCAAGAACCACATGGAATCTAAGCTTCGGTCTTTTGAATTCTTCCTTGTCTTCAAATTTATCAACAATTTGATATTGCGAAGAAATGAACATCATTTTGTTGATAGGAAAGTCCAGCTGATTGAAATCTGAGTTTTCGATATCAAATATCTTTTTGGGAACTTTAGCAAACTCATGCATAACTCCACTGAAAACACTAGCCTCAATTGTTTTGTAACTATAAAGTTTGGAAGGATCACCCTTATCAAGACCAGGAGGATCACTCTGTCTTTGTCGAAGAATGCTCTGAATTTTTCATTATTTCTCTATTTCCTGTTCCAATGCCAACTTTTTCTCTTCGGCAGTTGGTTATGTCAAAACACCCTTTCCTTTTTGCTTTAATTCTTCTGTTGGTGGAGGTGGCTTCGAACTTGACCCACCAGTTGATGAACCAATGACATGTCCTTTCAAGGGTTTCGAAGTTATGGTTGTTGAAGTGACTGTTGTAGATACAAGAATTGTAATAAGAATTTGTTTACTTATAACCCTACCGATAACCTTCCCTTGATTCGTATCACTTGATGCACCAAATCCTTTTTCTCCCCCTTGCACCCCTGTGGAAACAGGTGGGGCAGCCGTGGGCATCAAATTTATAAACTTCAAGAGAGGATCAAAATCGACCTTTAAACGAGTTTCTAATGAAGAAAACATTTGTGAGATTGACTCTTGAGAAACAGTTGAAATAAGGAGGAATTGCAAGTTTCGAAATCATCTCCTTCACTTCTATCAATACACCTTGCAGATGTACAAACTCATGAGAATCCAGAGAAGTATGAAACTCAACAAGCTTCATGACCGCATCAGCAACTATATCTACCTTAGTATGAAGGCTAGAATAGTTTTGATCAACCTCCGCAACCTCCTGCGTCATTTCTTGTCCAATTTCTTCAATATTCAAGTTTACATCCTCCTAAACCCTCTTGACAACTTGAACAAATAAAATATGACGTTCTTTTGCAACAGCTCGTAAATCCTTGAATTCATGATTAAACGAGTCGGATTGAAATTTTACCCGAAGTTTGTTGTTTTTGTCCATCTGATCCATTATTGCTTTCAGTCGAAGTTCCTCAGCCTTAATCATCACATCAACTTCTATCCCAGAGATATTGTTGCGAGTTCCGGCATCAGCCTGAAGCTGGACTAACGAATTAAGTTTGCGGTTGAGGATCTTGAATTATTTAGCAGACATTAGCATATGATTTGGTATATCCTCCTCTTCTGGATCAAACCGAAGATTAGCAAAAGAAACACACACGTCATCATCCTCTGTTGTAGTATCAGGAAAAGATGTTGGACCTTCATTGGATTACAAAGGAAACAAAGATATGTGTTAGGGGTGTCAAACCCAACAAATAATAAGGGTACAACAGACTCCAATTACAATGCTTTAATGCACTAAAAAGTAGTACAAGGGAAGCAGGGTTGAACCACAGAGACACTGGATAAAAGTCTACACCTCTTTGCGTAAGGTACTTTGGTCACAAAGGGGAACTTGTTTGCAAAATTCAAATAATGAAAATAACAATCAACTTTGAAACATGCAGAAAATAAAATAAATTTGTAAACAAGTTGCAAAAGTGCGTCTAGTTCTAGTTCTCAATGTTGTCATTTAACCTGATTATGACTTGATGTAATTTGTGATTGATATTCTAAGTTGGCACTGAAAGATATTAACACGCTCTAATACCTATCGCTTGCCAAACTATCTAAACAAAACACGCTCTTTGATTAGACCTAGGTTTACTAATTCAACCTAAACACGCTCTTAGATTGTATTGAAAAATTGCATTAAGTTTTGTACAAGCTTCCCAACAATGTTCATTTCTTCTCATGCGCTCAGAAGTGTGAAACATATGATATATGTTTTACAATAAGAAAACTTATTGTTTGTTACCAATCATTAATATTAAAGAACGATTAGGAGCCCTAAAAGTTAATTAACTGCACAAAAATTCAATTCATGAAAGTAGCCAATCAAACACAAATCAAATTCAAGGATCCTAGTTTGAACAAAAACATAATCACTAGAATAGAATCACAAATCAAACATCAAATCATATGTTTCAAGTCAAGCAATCAACATGTTTTGAACAAGAACTAGAAACTAGGGTTTCTTAGCCACACATGGCTAAGAACAAATCAAACAAGAATAAAGATGGAATTGAAATGTTTAATGCTTACTAAAATGAAATAAAAAGTGTTTGCAATGATTAGGTCTTCTAAAAAAACTCCAAGAAATCTCCTAGAATCACCCAAGATCGGCCAAAAAACTCCAAAAACCGTCTCTTCCTGATAAAATGTCGACCTCCCTTGTTTTATTAAGTTCTCACGTGCATGACATAAGGTCATGCGTTTTTAGCATGGTCATGCCTTTTTCCCGTGTGTTTTTGGCATGGCCATTTGTCTTGACCATGTGTTTTTGGCATGACCCATGCTTTTTGCTAAAACTCCAATAAGTCTTCACTGTTGGATCCATCTTCAGTCTAGCCTCACCACGAGTCATGTTGCTCAAATATAAGATGGTAAAGGACAAACATGACCAATATCGGTGTGATAAGAACCGTGTTTCAAACGTAGTCCTTTGCTATGATGACAATGCAACAATGACTCGGGTTATGTCTTCATGCTTTTCCTCCATGGAATGATCGGTTCATCTTCTCTTCATGCTCTAAAGTTCCATGCTTCAAAGCTCCAAGCTCCATGTTCCATATTGTCTGCAAATTAAATCAAAAATAGTGAAGTACCAAAAATTATCAATGAAACATGCAGTCACCCAAATAATTAACTAAATGCAAGAATTATGAAGTAGAATGCTATGAAAAGACAAAAATAAACATGCAAAATTGGTGCATAAAATGCACCTATCAATGTGATTGGTCGATTGAGAATGTTTTGAAAGGTAGGTGAAATGGTGGATTGAGGTAAGGAAGTAGAAATGAGTGAATGAAATGGTGGTAGCAAAGTACTCGTATCAATATGTAACACTCGGTTCCTGGTACGTATTTAAATTCTAGCAATTTCATGTTTTGCCCTGGGACTCGACAAGTTGGAGGACCAACTTATCGAGTAAACTCGACATCCGTCGGGAGTTTAAGTGACCTACTCGACAAGTTAGGGAACTGACTCGATGAGTAGGATTTGTCCGAATGAAACCCTAAAATTTGGGTTTATACCCTATTTAAACAACTTATCTTCTCCCCAACCAGCCTCCATCGCCCCTCTTACTTCCAGAAGGCCCTAAACCGAAACCCTAACATTGTTTGAGTGTTATTAAGCCATTTTGTACAGTTTTGGTGGTTTTGAAGCTTGAGAAGAAGGAAGGAGCTTGAGAGATCGAGTTGAAGCTAGTAGATCCAAAGGTTGTGTTCCATTTCCAGTTCATTTAAGGTAAAAAGCTTCAACCTTGGTTTTCCATTGGATATATCCTCCTTAGGGCTTGAATCTTGTCCTTTTGGGGAAATTTTAAGTCACCTTCGGGTTTGGGGCATTATATGGAGCAATAACTTTAGATCAGGATCATAGGGTGGCTTTAATGGCATAAAGATGCCAACTTTACTGCCATAAGAGCCCATGCATCTTGAAGACTCCATTTTAGGGCCTTTTGAGCTAAATGGACCATGCATGAACATAAAGTTAGCAACTTTACATATAAAAGAGGCCATAGGAGGCCAGATATATGATTTAAATGTATTAAGAACCATTATAATCGACTGTATAGTTTTGGACAAAGATGGACTCGGCGATTCATTCATGGGACTCGGCAAGTCGGGGTGTATTTTCAACCAAATCCTTTTTGTTATGGACTAGAAGTTAAGATTGAAGGTCCCTCATTTGTTTAGGCTCATTAGGGACCTGGAAATCATAGAACTCGACGAGTGTTTGAACAAACTCGGAGAGTTTAAGGCAATATCCCAACCACGTAAAGATGGACTCGGCGAGTTTAAGGGGAACTCGGTGAGTCATAGACTGAACACCTTCTTATGGATGATGATGGACTCGACGAGTTCAAG